TCAAAATTCGGTAGAGGAGCAAGAAACTGAAGCTTAGTCGAGTTCTCCTCCTTCGACAAACTGGAGAAGTACATTACCTGTTCAAGGAACATGACATGACAAGAAATTCGAACCCTTTGTGACACCGGATCATAGCACAAGTATCCCTTATGTCGTTCACTATCAATGAAGACACAACGAGCTGTTTTAGGTTGTAATTTGTTTCGTTCTCGTTGATGAAGAAGAACAAAACAAACACACCCAAAAACACGCAAAGAAGCATAATCACGAGACATGTCGAACAAGACCTGATATGGAGACTTGTTTTCCAAAACAGAAGTAATTTGCCGATTGATCAAATATTAGTAGGAACAAATGAATGAAATACTGTGTGTACTACTACGACCCAAAAATTATTAGGAACAAATGAATGAAATAGAATAGCCCTTGTAAACTCCAATACATGGCAATTTTTACGTTCCACTACGCCATTCTATTGAGAAACTCCAGGGCATGATTGTTGAGATATGATATCATTAGCCTTATAAAAGGACAACAATGGATTTGAACTGAATTCGCCGCCGGGGTCAGATCGAATGATCTTGATCGTTTTCTCAAATTGCGTCTTAATCATCTGAATAAACTCTATAGCACATGGAAGTAAATCTGACTTCTACTTCAAAAAATAAACCCACGTATACCAGGAAGCATGATCAATGAATAATGCGAAATATCGGAAACCAAGACGAGACATAATTGGAAATGGTCCCCAAAGATCCGTATGAACCAGCTCAAAAGGTTTATTATAGATTGTCGTACTCGCATTAAACATAGACTGTGTAGCCTTTGCCTCAATACAACTTAAACAGGTCGATGAAGAAGACGATAATGAATCAAGTTTAGCTGGCAAAATATCCTTTTAAAACATTGCCAATAACCGCGCAGAATGCGGGTGGCCTAAACAAGAGTGCCATAAATACCATATAGTCAATTTCTCAGAAAAATTTCAAAGAGCGAACCGAAAAACCAAACGAATCCAAACCCGACGAATATCCCATCCCGGTGGGAGAACAATAATTATTAGAACTATTATGAAAATCTGAATCACAAGACCATCACTCCCATGCGCCGCCTCTGGCAGCTCATCCAGCACAAAAACTCGACCCTGCTTACGACCTCTCCTGATCACCTTCCCAGTGGTCCGCTCCTGCACCACACACCCATTAGGAGTAAAGACCACATCACACCCATCTTCCGTTAATTCTCCAACATAAACCAAATTCGGAACAAGTGTAGGAACATAATAAGTGTGGGGTAACGTGACCAAGCTCGAGACAGCTGTCCCAAAACCATGGACAACAAGTTTTTCACTATTCACCACTTGAAGATCCACATTGTTAACTGGTCGCGAAGTAGTAAAAATATCACGAGAGCGGGACATATGATTAAAGGTCGCTGAATCCAACAACCATCGACTAGAGTTACCGGTAGAAGGAGCGACACCCATAGAGAAGGCGGATGTAAGATCAGTAGGGAGCACATCCTGTAAAGCCTCCCGAACAAGACGACAAATCACGTCGGTAGAGAGATAAGAAGCGGAACCGGCCGCAGCGGAGGAAGAAGCCTCCGAAGAAGGAGCATCAGACGGACCGGTAACAACATATCCTGGCCGGGAAGAGGACGGAGGAGGCCAATGGCCCTGGTGACCACGATGAGCGAGAGTAGGGCAATCAAAGATAACATGACCCGTCGGCTTACAATAAGAACTAATGTTGCGCTTCTTGCAATGACGTTGAATGTGTCCAAACCTCCTGGCAGCGGCCGTAGCAGCAGGTTTGGCCAAAGAACCAGTCAAAAGAGGAAGAAGACGCTTGCCCTCAATGAAGTTGTGGAATTGAAATTCCCACATCGCAAAATTCTTACCATCGAACTTAGCGAACAACATCTCAAACCGGGAAGAGTCCATAATGCAAGCAAGACGAGCAAATAACCGAGCACCAAAGAAAAGAAGCTGGGACGAGATAATGCCCAAAGAGACCCGAATACCAGGAGCAACGGCAAGAAAAAAAAGGAGGCCGAAGAACAAACCAGAGCTAAGGAGCCAAGAATAAAGGCGTCTGCAAGAAGAACCACTAACGAAGAAGATCTAGCAAAGCAAAGAATAAGAAGCGTCGGAGACGAAGAAGAGCTAACAAATGACGATCAACAGCAGTTGGAAGGCTCTGATACCATGTCAAAATATTAAACAAAATACAAGAACACACGAGATTTTCTAACGTGGTATCGTCAGGATGACACTAGTCCATGGAGAGGATCTATGTCTCAGATTTTAATATTATGAACGACTTAAGCCACATAACTCAACAAGTTACAATATTTATAGGGTTTGAGACAATTAACCCTAAGAACACGTTTCTATGTCCTAGTACTATAAGGAGTATAATTAACAGAGAGGACTATTCTCTTTGACCAGGGAGTAGGGATGACAATCCTGCCCGAATCGCTCGGTACCCATCCAAAACCCATTCAGATGGGGTCAAAAAACCCGTCCGTCGTGGGTAATGAGCGGATTCGGGTATGCCTGAAACCCGATAGTAGCGGGCAACGGGTGGGGATGGATCTCGTAGTATCCGCCCCATCCCCGCCCGTCCCCAAAACGACGCCACAATCTCCTCCAACGACCTCCCTTTCGTCTCCGGAAACAAAGTGTACATAAGACCACCCCACCAACGACACCCCGACGAACAGAAAAAATGCCCCGTCGATCGTAATCGCCTTGTACAGCGATATGAATGTCATCGAGATCATCGTGGGCATCAGCCTATTCACCGCCACTCCCAAACTATACCCCTGGCCCCCAAGTCTCAACGGAAAATTTTCCGCAAGGTCCGTCCCATCTTCCCCTCAATAACGACGTTGATCATGGGAATTCGTGGATTGGCCAAACCCGTCGGCGAACGAGAACGATAGCCATTCTACTCCCGTTTAGTTACCGGGGATCGAGAGGCTTGTACCCGCCCCTATCCGTCCCGTTGCCATACTTGCGTTCTTAAGACTAAAAAGTTAGGGAGGAGTAGGTGGGATGGGGTGCCGATTCGTTCTAAGGAAAAAGGACCGCCAGCCCGACGGAGTTTCCCATACTCTCCCCATTTCCTTTCTCCCTCTCATATAAACCTCAACAATATTCGGGTCGCTTTCTTCACCTCCCACCAAATATCTGCTTCTCTGCTTCTGCCGCGGTCTCCCCAGGTTCGTCTCCAATCAATTTCTCAATCTCTTTCTCCCATGTTTCCTTTCTCGGGATCTGAACTTGTTTCTTCGTTTCTCGACGAATTTATCTGGTGCTTTTGGATCTGATTTCGTCTTCTGCTGTGGTCACGTCGTTCTTGCCGGTTGATTCTTTGCTGCTTCGCGTTCTTGTTTTTGCTACCTGGAATCGTTGTATGTGTTTGTGACGGTGTCAGAAGCTGCTGTTGCCAAGTTGAATCTGGATGTAACTTGTTAAAACTGAAAATGCTGGACGTTTGTTGATGATTTTGGCTCAGCAATCTTGAGCCGATGAGTTATTTCTGTCTCTCTCTGTTTGTTTTTATGGTTTGGCAAATTGTGAATGTAGTGGAATCTGAAGAAACGTGAGCTTCTCTAAATATTCCCTAGTTATGACTTGGGAAGAATGTCTTTGAGCTCGTAAATGATTCATCTTCTGAAATACTGTCGATGGATTGCTCTATTGCTCGTAGACCGCCTGAACATGCACCGTGTTTAATGAATTGTTGTATTTGGTAAATGTGGAATTAGGATGACGAGTTGTTCAATTCAGCCTATTTTTGAAGTTGCTTGGACTTTTCAGGCTTCCCGTATTTATTGCATCTAATTCTCTTCGTGATCCGTCACAATTCTGCTCGCTGTTTGTTTGGATCAAGCATCTTTCTTTATGCCTCTTTAGCAATATCCTTTTATTGTGACCCTTGCTTACCATAGGGCTTGTTATTGATTCTCAATGACTGCCCTGTTCGTCAAGTTTAATTGTACTGAATTGCGAAGCTTTTTCTTTCCAATATGTCTGGTGTAGAGGATGCGAAAGCCTATGGCTCCATTCCTTTGTGGTGTAATCTTATTCGATGATGCAACTAGCTAGAGCCTAGGCTTTGGAATTGGTTGCATTTTGACTGTCCTTTCACTAGATGATATGAATGCTTTCTTGGATGGCATGAATCATTTGAAGTTCGTCATGAGATAGTATAAATCTTAGATTATCTTGTATGTAGTTTGTCAGTGTTATTTACATGGCCATGTTCTGGAAGTTGTTAGTTTCTAATCACACTGATGATTGCAGGTCAATTTTATTTAGAGATCGGGATAGTTCACTTACATAGTATGGTTTAGTCAAGATTTGCAATGTATATGTAGAATTTGATAGATAAAACTATTTCTTGAAGCATGATGATTTGTTTTGTTAACATCTTTCTCATGATCTCTGTCCCTTAGTTTAATCCTACCTGTTTATTGTTCATGCTCAACGATATTACCTAGTCTATATTGTTCCTTACCTAGAATAGAGTTCTCCGCCCAAGGACCATCAACTTTAAATTGTATTTTCTGAAACTTGCATTTTACTTCTGCATTGGCTATTTGCATGTCATAGAATTGGAACTATTGTGTAATTTTACCTCCTTTTATGTATATCCTCTGAAACTCAGAAACATAGATGTTTTAAATGTGATTATTTATTACTAGTCTTTGCATGTTTGAAATGGTATCCATTGTGGTCACATTCTTTTATCTCACTTTCTTAAGGGGAAATTCATCATATTTGACTAACTTTTTTACTTCTCTACTGGCTTTTTTACTTCTCTTTACTGCTAAGTTATATCTTAATAGTTATGATGGAAGATAGAATTCCTGCAGTACTTCTTCCAATTATTTGCTATAATGTTATTTATCTTGGCTTAGCTGTTTTTACTACTCAGTAGTAGTGTCAAAGAGATTTGTCATGGTTTACTTATTATTACAGTTAAAAGATGGCAGCTACATCAGCTACATCAGCTACTTCCTTTTCTATTGGATCGAAAATCTCTTTTGGTCCTAAAGCGAGCCAACTCCTGCTGCCAAAACCATCTGTTGTTAGATTCAACTCTCAGAAGCCACTTGCAACCTTCAGCGGTCTGAAGGCAACAGGCTCTATGAACTGTGAGTCAGAGTCTTCATTCTTGGGCAAGGAAAGCTATGCCGCGTTGCAGAATTCTTCATCACCAAGAAGTGTCAAGTCAACTGGAAGGACGCAGTATCACCTCAATCCCCAGGCATCTTACAAAGTGGCTATTCTTGGAGCAGCTGGAGGGATTGGCCAGCCTCTGGCATTGCTGGTCAAGATGTCTCCATTGGTTTCTTCCCTCAACCTCTATGATATTGCAAATGTGAAGGGTGTTGCAGCTGATCTAAGTCACTGCAACACGCCTGCCCAAGTCTCAGATTTTACTGGGCCGTCTGAACTTGCTGATTGCTTGAAGGGTGTGAACGTCGTTGTCATTCCAGCTGGAGTCCCAAGAAAGCCCGGGATGACCCGTGATGATCTATTTAATATCAATGCTAGCATTGTAAAGACCTTAGTTGAAGCTGTTGCTGATAACTGCCCTGAAGCCTTCATCCATGTCATAAGCAACCCAGTGAACTCTACAGTACCAATTGCAGCCGAGGTTTTGAAGCAGAAGGGTGTTTATGATCCAAAGAAGCTGTTTGGTGTTACTACTCTCGATGTTGTGAGGGCAAATACGTTTGTCGCTCAGAAGAAGAACCTAAGACTCATTGATGTAGATGTCCCGGTTATTGGAGGCCATGCTGGGATTACTATCCTTCCACTTCTGTCAAAGACAAAACCCTCGGTCTGTTTCACTGACGAGGAGATCCATGAGCTGACTGTGAGGATTCAGAATGCTGGAACTGAAGTAGTTGAGGCAAAGGCAGGTGCTGGCTCTGCTACTCTGTCGATGGCATATGCTGCAGCAAGATTTGTGGAGTCTTCTCTTCGCGCACTTGATGGAGATGGTGATGTGTATGAGTGTGCATATGTGCAGTCTGATGTTGCTGATCTGCCATTCTTTGCATCGAGAATCAAGTTAGGAAAGAAAGGTGTTGAAGCTCTCATTTCATCGGACCTCCAGGGTCTTACCGAGTATGAGCAGAAGGCAGTTGAAGCGCTGAAGGCTGAATTGAAGTCCAGCATTGAGAAGGGTGTTGGTTTTGCCCAGAAGCAGTCTGTGGCTGCTGCCTAGGGCGAGTCTCAAGCGTTGGATAAAATCTCTAACCAAAAAATGTAACCATCTCCCCAGTTTTTAACCAAAGGTTCTTTACCTGGAAGTTGAGAAATTTTCCTTTTATTGTTATCGCATAAGGTGCTTTTGAGTTTTGTAGAAGTTGCCAAAATTTCATTTCTCTGGTCTTGGAAGGATATTGTTTGAAGAAAATGTGCGAGTGGGTGGGATACATTAGTGTTGTAGTAGGTCCAGCCAGCGCTCTAGAGAAACAGCAGTGACCATTGTGATTGGTAATAAATATGCAAAAGCATGGTTGGCGAACCATGGGAACAGATACATTTGTCGTATGATTCCTATCGTTTGCCTACTGAGAGATGGCAGCAGAACCAAATTATGAGTTACCCGATACCCAATTGGGTCGAAGATCCAAAGCTCATTGCCATCCACCATAGTCTCTCTATTGGGTTATTCCCTCTTTTTCTCCCGATGCATTACCAGAAATCATCACAGGAGCATCGGCCCTCCCTAAAGTGATGAAATCTATTTCGATCTCTAATGACTACAACTCGGTTATAAACCCAGGAAAGAGCTTTTGCGAATTCATGGCAGTCCACACAGGTTCTCAAGTTCTTGGCTATCCTTATTGTTGTTCCAGGTGGAGTTGCAAGGATTCCAAAGGCCATAGCTAGCTTCTCACTATGGTAAGAGAGTGCATGTCCCTTCTCTTCCTCGTCCAAATTGTGCAGTTCGGAAGTTATGTCAGCAACATAACCAGCAATCTTCAACTGCTTATTTATCTCATCCATGGTCGTGTAGATCTCTTCCTTCCTCGAATGAGAAACATCATCCACCAAAAATTCATGGACTACGCCTTTGACGATGATCGAACTGCACCCAAGTGACGTTTGAATCCCTCTTTCCTTCATAAACCTTCTTGTGTCCTTTACCTTCTCCCAGTCCCCAACCGAAGAATAGATATTTAGCAAAAGAACATAATCACCAGCTTCCTGAGCCTTGAGCTCAACCAAATGCCCCACCACCGTTTCTCCCAGTGTAACATTGTGGTGGATTCTACATGCTCCAAGCAGGGTCCTCCATAGAGCAGAATCAGGCTTCAACTCCTTCATCGACATTATCAACTCGTACGCTTGATCAAGCTTCCCCACTCGACCCATTAGGTCAGCAATGCATCCGTAATGGTGAATGTTGGGCTTTATCCCATACTGTTTGGTCATCGTTTCAAAGAAGAGCATGCCCTCATCCAACAACCCGCAATGACTACAAGCAGAAAGAAGTCCAGTAAACGTCTGATCGTCTGGGGGAACACCTGCTTGTCCCATTTGCCTGAATGCCTCCAAGGCCCCCCTTCCATGGCCATTCATTGCAAGACCAGAAATCATAGCGCTCCAAGTGACCACATTTTTCTCCCTCATTCGGTTAAATACCTCATACGCCTGGTCCAGGCACCCACACCTGGAGTACATCGAGATCAGAGAATTGCACAACTTGATAGCATCGCCGTATCCATTTTCCTCCATGTAATTTCGAACCTTGTCCCCGAATTCCAGTGCGCCCAAATCTGCACAGGCTTGAAGGAGAAACAAGCAGGTGACATCATCCGGTTTACATCCGAACTCATCTCGAACCATACTATCAAACACCCCCAGGACATCCCTCGTCCTCTTATTGCGTAGGAAGCTAGAGATTAAAACGTTCCAGGAAACGGTGTCTTTATGAGGCATTTCATCAAACACTTTGTGGGCTTCACCATCCCTTCGGCAGAGCGAGTACAGATCCATCAAATTGGTCAGTAAGAGGCTATCTGATTGGTGCCCACCATTCAAAATTTTCGCGTGAGCCTGTTCGCCACCTCTTAAACAACGAATCTTAATGAAACATTTGATAACGAAGGTGAGAGTTATGGGGTCTGGTCGCAAGCCTCGGCGCACCATTTGCTGGAACACGCAGAAACCTTCCATGGGCGAATTGCTGTGAGCATAGGCTCTGATCATAGTGTTACAGACTAAAGCAGACGGTTCCCGTATTTGGGAGAAGACTCGACGAGCATATTGGATGTCTTGAAGAGGAGAGAGGGCTATGCGAGACAGGAAGGCCAGGGATAGTTTAGGTTCTCGAAGAAGAGAAGTGCGAGTAAGATGGGCTTGAATTTGAAGCAAATGGGACTTGTGGGTGCTTGATTTAACGATGGATATCAAGTTCTGATAACTCTTCATTTGAACGGCCGTCGTTTGATCGGAATCGGAAAGCGGTTGAAAGTCCAGTTCATATCAGATCGCTGTAGTTCGTGCTGTCGGCAATAGCTGTACACCAACGAGGATGCAAATAAGAAGCTGGTAAAAGTTGAGGTGAAAATCGAAGTGGAGTAAAGTAACTTTAGGAAGTAAAGTGGTTGTCAAGTGGATATAAATTATTATTATTATTATTAGGCTAAATACACATGTATAGCCATAACTTTCACGTTTTTGACAAATATAGCCATTTCTATTCGAAAACACGAAATAGCCCAAAAAACGGAGGGTAGTGTGACAAATCTAGCCAAAACCGTTAGAAACTTTAACTGCGTCTGTGACTCCGTTAAATCGTTTGACGGAATGCTGACGAGGATGCCAAATCATCGCACACGTCAGCAACAACTCAACCACACTTGCCACGTAAGTGCCATGTCATATTTTAATTTAAAAATAAATAAGTAAATTATCTATTTAAAAAAAAAAAAAAAAAACAAACACATGCGATGAGGCCTGCTCCTTCCCCTCTATCCCTCTGTCGAACTCTTCTCCCTCTGCTCCTCTCCTTCCTTACTCTCCAGTCTCCAGTCTTCTTCTTGTTCACGTCGGCGCTGGGATATGAGCTGCTGACCATTGGATTCGTACGGAACCCATATCCTGAAAAAGAAGGCGGGGGCGAAAAGAACATCAACAAATGGTGGATCCCGACCAGATGAAGCAAAAGGGGGGAAACAAAAAACCTGTTAGAGAAGACAAGTCCAAGTGCAAAGCAGAAAGCACAAATCAGCGGAATCCATTTTGCAGAGATTTTGGTGCTGCCGCTGCTATTGTTGCTGCTTCGAGTCTTCATCACCGCCGGCGGGGGTGGGAAAGGAAGCGAGAGAAAGCGCGGACTTCCCAAAAAATTGTTGTTGCCTACCTCCCAAAAAATCCCCAATTACATGACCTCTGAAATCCCAAAAAATCCCAAAAAAATGTTCTCCTTGTCCTTCTGGATCTCCTCTCCTCGCTTGAGGATCTTGACCTGGCCCATGGAGAGTACCTTGGCTGCGGCGGCATGGGGAGAGATCGAGGGTTCGGCTGTGGGACTGGGGGTGGTGGTGGGGGTAGGGTTGCGGCGGATTTTGGAGTCGCGGGGTGGGAAGGAGGCCGCGGCGGTTGGTGAAAGGGTCGCTGGAGTTTCTACGAGAGGAGACAGAGAAGGCTCTGGAGTCGGTAGGTAGAGGAAAAAGAGGTCGAGATCGGGTGGGTCGAAGAGGAGCAGGTCGTCGAGCGGAAGGAGGTGTCGGATTGCGCCCGGCGGTGATGGTAGCCCCGCTGTGGGGTTTCCGGGAAGGAGCAGGGGGCGAAAAATGGTTGGGGTACAGGGAGGAAGGTGAAGATTTTTGTATAAATAATTTTATTTTTATTTTTCATCTTAGGAACTCGGAAAATTGAATTTATGTTTTTATATTTTTTTTAATCCACGTGTCCGACGAAGTATTGCTAGGTCAGCATTTCCGTTAGTCTAGTCAGAGTGTTAAGTAACACCGTTAAAGGGATGGACGGAATTGGCTATTTTTGGTTTTCGAAAAGATATGGCTATATTTGTCAAAAACGTGAAAGTTATGGCTATACAAGTGTATTTTGCCTTATTATTACTAGGTAAATTCTGTGCCGCGCTTTGCTGCGGCTTCTCATAGGATTATATGTATTATTTGCTAATCCGTATTTGATTTATGACCGCGTTTAGCAGCGATCCAGTAGAGGAACTCCTAAAAGAATCTTGATTGGTTGGTGATTTTAGCGGTATGAAATGATTTAATCACGGTTGAACTATCATTTTAGCACAAAAAATGCCTAAATGCAAATTTCTTAGGTACAACTTTCGGTATGGTTTTACAATTTTTATTTTTCTGCACATACATCGAGGTTCAGATTGGAGCAACGTGTCAAGGCTGATTTAACTACGATTGAACTATGATTTTAGCACAAAATACCCTAATGCTTACTTTTTCAGTACGACCTTTGCTATGGTTTTACAATTTTTAGTTTTGTTTCTGAACATAAATCGAGGCTCAGGTTGAAGCACCGTGTCAAGCCTGATTTTTTAACCACAGTTGAGCTATGATTTTAGCAGAAAATGCTCGAATGCTAACTTTTCCGGTACGACCTTAGGTAGGGATAACAATGGGTCGAGTTGAGTCGGTTTATGTCAAATCCAAACACAACTTATTGGATATCTCATAAAACCCTCCGAAGAAAAATCCAATAGGTTCGAAAACCTCATACCCAACCCATTGAATATCCGCGGATTCGTGGATACTCATGAGTTCTCATGAAAAAAATAAATAACACCAATCTCCTATTAAAATAAAAGTCTAGAGCTAAAGCGGGAAATAAAACCAACTGTGACCCAAAACAAAACAATAAACCAAAGGTCAAATTAGCAAAATTCTCATGCAATAGAGTAGACAAACCAATTAATATGACCCAATCAAAATGACCCATTATCACAAGATTAGCATAATCCAATTACAAAAGCTTAAAGAAATCTTATGCAAAGAAGACAAATGCAAAAAAAAAAAAAAAAAAAAATCTACAATAGCCACGTGTTAAATGTAAAAGTGGCTTTCATCTACAACAACTAAAGTTCCTTGTCATTTTAACCTACCTCTAATGCAACAGTAGCAACATTATATCTTTAATAAGTATTAAGATTATTAGAATTATTAAACTAAAAGTTCAAAAAAATTACCATAAAAACGAAATCACTGTTCCTTACGAAGAATTCGGAGTGCACTGTTCACTAAGGGGGTTCGTATCAGCTGCGGTTGTTTATATATAAATCTGAGTTCATTATATTGGGCTTAGCAAGCGTGGCCCATTGATTGTTTTCTAATTCCTTCACATGCATGGGAAACGGCCACATGGCCCACACCTGACCATGCCACCCTTTTTCCGTGCATCCCTCCAATCTTCTTTATATTTTTCCCCAATTCACTCTTCTTTCCCATGGTGGAAAGAAAACCACTTCCCTTCCCATTTATCTTCATCCCAATCTCAAGAAAAAGATTTGGGGGGACAGCGAGAGGATTCAAAATTAAAAACTGAAAATCAGAGGGCCGGGAGAGTGTGATTGTTGGAAGGCTTTATGAAGATAGAAAACTGAAAACCAAAATTTGAACGGAAGATGATTAACCTCTTCTCTTTTATTCTCATTTCATTGATTTATTTCCCTTTCTCGCCACTTCTCTTCTTTTTCCCCTCTGCCGATCCACTGACGGCAGACCAAGTTGGGTTGGAGATGGATAGCTTGAGAATCATTGTTGAATCTAGGTCATAGTTGGATACCGAGTTATTCGATTCAATTCCACCTTCAATCTGTCTCTCAGTACCCAACCCCTTTCCATTACTGGCAGCTTGCGGACTATTGGACTCTGCTGATTGCTGGACGGCTGGTCAAGTTTCCCCGACCAATCACTTTTTCTTTCCTTGCCAACCAGTAACCACAAACATCAACAAGTGAAAATAACCGGCGACGGAGAATAGAAGAGCTGAGCCAAGTTTATTTCCACTTCAGTCTCGATGATCAAATGTGACATGCAAAGGACATAAGACAAAATTGAATAAAAATCCCTCTTGGAGATCCAAATTGGCATGCAGCAACTCGCTAAACCAGCTAAAATCACCAATATGACTGGCGGCGATTGAAGCCATGCTACAACTGCCCGTCTAGCTATCAAAATCCATGGCAGCTGGCTGAAGAAGTCAATCTAGAATCGATCAAATGGAAGCGCTCCATTCCAAGTTGATGGAAGATCAATGATTCTCAATCGACCATTCCAAAACTAGCCCCCTGTCTGGCTGCGCCCATCTGCTCCAAATTCGAACATGCAAAGATAGAGAAAGGTACACTTACCTATATATGCCAATACCAGTTTTAAAATCTCCTCTCATTCCCACTTGAATGGGAACTACAGATCACTGCCGCTCCATCCTCTTCTCCTAGGTTCTGAATGCATGCAAGATAGAATATTTGAGATTATAAGCCTAGGCAAGAGTAACTTAACGAGACACAATGTCTTGAGTCTAAAATCTGAGCCCTCCTTCCACATTCTGAAATCGCAATTTATTTCAGCCAAAGCAATAGAGAGAGATTGGGAAGTGAAAGAGATGGGAGAAAACAGAAAACATGAAGAGGCAAAGGAAAAGAGTAAGCTGTGAACTTGGATACTCATGGGGCTTAGGGACAATCTCACATTGACCACGCGTACGTGCTAAGTGACGTGGCGTAATCTTTTGGGGAAAAGATTTTGGAATATAAAATATAAAAATAACATGTTAATATTTTGGATTTGTTGAATCAATGCCTAACTTTGTAAAGTCCATGAAATTGTTGGGGTTATATCTTGATGCATGTTTATTCAAATCACGAATAACTACATCCATAACATTACAGTTGCTAAAACATACAATTTATTCTAAAAAAAGAACATTTTTAATGAAAGAATTGCTAAACGCCAAAAATGAATCCAAATTAAGTTTTAAAAATGTCAATTTTTAGTCTTGCAAATTGCTAGGAATGACAACTAGGTGTGAGATCACTTCCTATTTTGAAAATAGAGTGATAAAATTAATAAATTTAATTTATATGAGTGGCGAAAATTCATATTTACTAATAGCTAGCAAGGAAAAGTTGGCACAAAAACAAAAAGCTATCATGAGATGAACTATTGATTATACATACATTGAGAGAAAACAAGTCGATAATATATAAAAAAAGAACTGGATTGCATCGCTTCTGCTCATAATAGATTAGTTTATATAAAAATTAAATCATAATAGACGAGATTAAGAAAATCATATTGTACCCTCCGCAAAGCACGGGCCAATTAACTAGTATTATTAATAGCGCAAGTAAACCAAACATGAAAACATTGTTCATCACTCAAAAATACCTCATAACTCATTTTGATCAAAGTGCCACCAAACATTACACCAAAATCTATTTAATATGAGAGATTTAATAGGAGCAAGACTTTATTCTGTACACTAGAATTCATTATAAACTCTCTTCCAATAGATTCAATGCAGCCCCAACGTTATATCTCGCAGGGTCGCGAGGTCTGTCTTTGATTGGAGTATGATTCACGGCAAAATCGATAAGGAGCAGGGTAAAAATTGGCTGAGATCTTGGACCTCGTAGGATGTCCGGGGGCTCTCCTTAGCTGAGATACTTTGCTGTCAGTATCGGCCTGCTGTGTTCTGGTGCTATGGCTGGCTGCGATGCTTTGGGTTATTGCTTGTGTGTTCTGTTGGGGTGGTTTTTTATGCGGTCCTCTCTGTGCACCTTTGTGGTTGTTATTTCCACTTCTTTCTGTATTGTCTCCTTGTTTTCTTTTGAATTTGTTCGGTCCAGAACTTCGCCCACTTTCACTGCTTGTGAAGTGATGATCGCCTCTTTGTATCCTTTTCCCTTTCCCTTATTTAATAAAATTCATCATCCTCATCAAAAAAAAGTTTCAGTTGAAAATTAAACTTATGTGTTTGTTTTAACCAAGTATTGAAATACCATATCGTACTGGTAGTTCGATCAGAAAAACTTCTTATTGGAGGATAAATCTGGAGGCGATATTTAGCGGTATGAAACGGTTGAAACATGATTTTAACATAAAATGCCCTACTACTGTCTTTTCGGGTACAACCTCCGCCATCGATCGCGCCACCGCGCCTTCCCGCCGCGACGGAGTTGGCGCCGCGTCGGTCCTGTCACATGTGGCAGATGACATGGCGCCAACAAGGTGACAACATGGCGGCTGCACATGTGGCATGTATGGAAGACTAGTAGCATAGAGATGCTCCTATGATTCTCCACCTAAATGAGAGCTTAATGGTGCACTTATGAGTCACAT